CAATGCTTTTGTTAATAGTATATACTTTGTATATAAGACTCAATTCATTTAAATGGCTACATATATTAATGAGGTATAGTTTACATAATCAGCTCATCAAAAGCAGCCTGATTGATGAGCAATTATGTTGGTGCTCAAAAAGTTTCAGATTTCAGAGCATTTTGGATTTTCAGGTTAGAAATGTTCAACGTCTATATAAAACTACACTGCCTTATTCTACCCTAGATCATAGGATCTATTATTATTGGACTACAGAATATTTGTATACGTAATAGTCTAAGTGATTGTGCTAATTAGACAGTTACTCGCCTTTTTATGAGTTCATGTCACACTTGATGTTTCTCTACATTACAGATACCTGGACCAATCATACATGCAGGCTCCATTCTTCTTAGGCTTTCCCAGATAGGCTTGCACATTTCTTCACACTCTTATTTGATGCTTGACTGGACAGCTTGGCTTCCCAACTCCTAGGCTGAGACTAACTTTCTGATCATTTATGTTATGGTATTACCAGTTTTGTATCTCTTGAGGGCTAAGCTTGAAGTCCGATCCCTAATTACTTCTAATATTTGTGCTGGGATTGCCTTCCAACTCCATTCCCTGCATGGAATCTGCTGTTTTCCCATGGATATACCTCTTTTGTAGAACTGGGATACCTCAAGTTTCTTGTGAAGGATAGGAGGTTGCTTCTATAGTTAAATTGTGTTCCCAGAGAAAGATTAGTTTGTGCTTCCAATTCTTCCATCTTAAAAATAGAAATTTTTGCTGGTTGTGGTGTCATGTGCCTGTAATCCCAGTGACTCAGGAGGCTGAGGCAGGAGTACAGTGAGTTCAAGACAAGTCTGGACAATGTAACAAGATCCTGTCCCAAAATGAAAAGAGCTGGGAATGTGGCTCAGGGGTAGAGGATCTCTGGGTTGAATTCCCAGTGAAACACATGTGCACGCGCGCGCACACACACACACACACACACACAAATCCAGAAATTTCTCATTATGAATGTTGACACATACTATTCAAATACCCATTTCCTTATTGTCCATTCAATGAATGAACACCAACTAATAGGGTGCTTATTCTTCCAAATTCAGAGAGGGATGCAGACAACCAAAACCCAGATGGCTAAAAGAATGCATAAGTATCCCTAATCTGAAAATATGAACTTTGAAATGCTCCAAAATCCATAGATTTTTGGTGCTGATCTGAAGCCACAAGGGAAAATTCCATTGCTCAATTTGTTTTTTTCTTTTTCTTAAACATTTATGTTTTAGATGTAGTTGGACACAATACCTTTATTTTATTTATTTATTTTTATGTGGTGCTGAGGATTGAACCCAGGGCCTCATGCATGGTAGGTAAGCGCTCTACTGCTGAGCCACAACCCCAGCCCCCCTCAATTTGTTTATACACAAAATTAGTCAAAATATTGTGTTGGTTGAGTGTTGTGGCATACATCTATAATTCCATTGACTCAGGAGGCTAAGGCAGGAGGATGGCAAGTTCAAGGCCAGGCCAGTCTCAGTGTCTTAGTCTCAGCAATTTTGTGAGACCCTGTCTCAAGATAAAAATAAATAAATAAAAAGGATTGGGGAAGTAGCTCAGTGGTAAAGCAACCTGTTTTAATCTCCAGTACCAATATCTTATATACACACATTTGATATATATATATATATATATATACATACGTACATATATATATATGTGTGTGTGTGTGTGTGTGTGTGTATTATAAAGTTATTTTCAGGCTGTTTATATTGTATGTATGAAGTATAAATGAATTTGGTGTTTAGAATTTTGTTATATCCCTAGTATATGCAATTATCATTATGTATATACAATTGTTCCAAAACTTTGAAAAAAAAATCTGAAATCTGTAATGTTTTGGTCTTGAGCATTTTGGATAAGGGGTACACAAGTCTAAGGACTCTAAATGTTATAGGAGTATACGTGAACCTCCTAACAGGTCACCATTTTCCAATCCCTCCACTGTGTAGTCTGCCTCCTAACGTTTTACTAAGCTGGCTTTCTAAAAGCCAAAATTCATTTGTTTTCATAGGAAAAACAGTATAAGCTCATTAGTGCAGCATTCAAGGCTCTTCATAATCTGACTCCAATTTCCATTCAAGCCTTAATTATTCCTACTTTCTCATATACCCTTTGTTCTATACATCATAAACTTCTCAATGTTCCTTTTTAACCTCTGTTCCATCTACATAGAATACTTTCCCCAATAGCAAACTCCCAATAAGTCTTTAAGATTCAGTTCAAAGTTTTGTTGAAACATTCCCCCTATGTTTCTTATCTGACCTGGATTTGAGCACACTGCTCTGTTGCCTTTATTAGTCTTTTATCTTGACAGGTATTGGCCTTTCTATGGGTTCATGTCACATTTGGGCCAATAAAGAGATACCTGGACCAATCATACAGGCAGGCACCATTCCTCTTAGGCTTTCCCAGCTAGGCTTGCACTCTTCTTCATGCTCCTATTTGATGCTTGACTGGCCAGCATCTTTATCTTGTTAGTCTTTGCATCTCTGAATACAGATCTGAATAAGAGCTGGCAAGTAATGGGGGCCCAATGAACATTTGTTAAATGAATGAAGGAATAACTGAATGTAAGTAAAGAACTCAAAGAAAGGAGTTTGGCAGACTTAGGTAAGGGTTTTTGAAGGGCACAGGGCTTGAAGCCGGAGCTAGAAAAACAGAGAAATGGGGAAAGGGTATTTGGAGGACGAGGATTGTTATCCTAGGAGATGGAAGACAAAAGCCCAAGACTGAGAGCAAAGACAGTGAGTGAGGAGGTCAGCCAGGCTACAGCTGACTGCTGCAATATCTTGACGTTGTCACTTACTAGATTTCTCAAGTACATTTTCAGCTCCTAGAAGGCAGGGTATTTGGTATACTCCTTTGTACTTCCTTTATGTTTGATGCACATCTCTACAGTTACTATTCCTACTGTCTTATGGTTTTTATTGTGCTTGGTGTTACAATTATCGGTACATTGGCCTGTCTCCCTACACTTGTACCAGTTTCCCTCCCTAGCTGCTTGAGGCAGGGGGACAAGATCTTACTGTCTTTGCATCTTCCAAGTCACCTAGCATAGTTCCTGGCACACAATGGTTGCACAGCAAATATTTTTTGATCTACCATTTGTTGATCTGATTTCAGAGGGCCACAAGGATATTTGTGTGCAACTGTGTATTGTGACACAAAACTTATATATGCCTTCATACTGTGTAGTCTATTTTTGGCAATTTTCATTAAAATGTTATCTTATTGTACCTGGAAGACTGTCATTTCAATTTTCTTCTTTGTTCCTTCTTGGATGACTCACATCTCTTATGCCAGAAGGATATGACAGAAGGGATTCACAAAGGGTTTGGACAAATTTGTGAATGACATAGTCATAAACGTCTGAGTGTAAGAAGCGTGGATCATGCAAAAGGGAAGGAGATAACTTTTTCAAAGTGTATTTTCAAAGTGTCTATTAGGTGCCAGTAACTGTGTCTCAGGCACTTGACACACATTACATCTCATTTAATCTTGCAGAATAATTCCATATAAAGACAGAACATCTCTATCTGTAAGGCAAAACCCATATCTGTTCAAGCACAAAGCTTCTCCAAGTACCAGAGGTAATATTTGTGTTTATTAAAATTTTATCAGTCTTTTTAACAGATGAATCTTTAGATTTACTTTTGCTTCCTAGGAACAGAACACTCACTCTCAATTCAGACTTATACAGCTTAAAACTACTTTCTGACATAACTTGATCAGTTTTTAAAGTCCCAGTGCTTTAAATTACAATGCAATCTGAGATATTCCCATAGCAATAACAGCAATTACATTTGTTCACAGCACTTACCTTTATATTTCATTAAGCTTCCAAATACTGAATAAAGGTAAGTCAAGTCAAGAAAAGAGACTTCTATTAACCCTGACACCAGCAAATTGTCTCAAATTATAGCATGCCTCCTATTTGTATTCTAGACATATTGAATAGGTTTTCTGAGATACATATTTATACCTCACCTATGGTTAGAAGAAAATTGGAAGGAAATTAGTTTAAGTTGTTTCTAATTTTTTAAAAAAATAATAGTAACTTTAAAAAAACGTAATGCTCCTGAGTATACAGCTGTTGCATCTGGCAGAAATCCTAACATTATAACCAAAGCACCATCCCTCATCCTTGGGAAATAGCTTGAGAAGGTGGGGCTGCATGTGTTAGTTTGGTATTTAAAGTCACATAGTCTAAGGTCTGTAGCTACATCCTGATCTGTGATAACATGCTTCCTGCCAGGGGTGGGGTGCAGTGGGAATAGAAGAGGTTCACCTTTGGATTATCAATACATGCACAGGTTCCAGACAGCTTTCCATTACCTTGTTTTGGGAAAATTATAACAGACACCTTTGCTTTGTGAAGTCCATTTCATATGACTAAAGGAAATAGAAAGGACTCAAATGGCCCATTTCACATTTTGTATGATCCTGCCCCAATCTCTGTATGCCACTAGTAGCTGGAAACAACAGACCTGATTTTGTTAGTGATTATGTGTTTCTTGAATTTTACATTAATTGAGAGACCAGAATTACCACCAAGGAACATATGCTACATACCACCTATGGCACTTCTAAAAAATAAATGAAAACCTAGCTTTCACATTTAAAGACTTGTCCCTTCCTTTTTGAGGCTAGGGGATGAAAATATGCACATCTTCCAAAGAGTTCTTTGTGCGAACAGGTGACCCCTTCCCACAGTCTCTGTAATTAATTGAGAAATTAAAATTGGTTGGCCTTTGAGATCTTTTGTAAAAAAAAGGCAGAAGGTCTTGGATATTTTGGAACAAGAGTCCACTATTCTGCCAAGACAGTGTGTTATTGTTATTGAAGTGTCTCTCAACAAAACGGTATTGAGTGGTGAGGACGTGATTTTGATTAGGTGGAATGACTCAGCTCTTCCCCTTAAAGAAGAGAGGACTTGTCAGAGCCTTACTTACCTCATGATCTGGGATCTCAGAGGATAGTGTTTTCCCTAGGATGACCCCGGTCAAGTATGTCCAGCAACGAGCCGTGTTGGCAAGGTTGTAGCCTCCTGTCTCCATCAAGAATTGTGAAGTTAGGGAAAGAATAGTCACAAAACAGCAGGAGAGGGAAGAGGGTAAGGAAGGAGAGAAAAATGTTTTAATAAAGGGGCTCAAAAGACAACTCCAACTTGCAGAATTTCACCTAAACATTTTTATACGATAACTGTAAACCACCTAGTGGGCAGACTTTGGGGGACCAGTCAGATCATGCACAGTGTAGAACTGGGAATTCCAAGAACAAGAAAGATTAAAGACACTCTTATCTCCCAACAAATGAGAACCTGAAGAATCCAAGTTCCTCCACTCCATCAAGAGACATTGGCAAGACTGAGATCCCTAGAGGTGACCTACACAATGAGAAGGTTTCTGTGATGGATTTTGCAACAATTCTATAAAATAACTGTTGGATGTGATCTGTATTTTAAAGCTATTGGCAGATCTCACCCTAAAACCATCCAGGAAAGAGAAAATGAAAGTGCTGATAGAAACAGACTTCCTTCTTTTAATATCAGCATTCCTTTTCACCACAAAACACAAGCCTGGTGGCAGAGATCAAAGAGAGTGAGATGAGGAAGGGACTGTTGATTGACGCTCTGACCCATCTCGTCAGGTCCTGTCACAGTCACCCAGCAGCCATATTACACTGGCTAATAATCAGCATATTTTTGTGCTGAATAGATGTGCTCTGCCATGCAAGCATTAGAACATTGGCCTTTAGCTAAATTCCAAGAGCATAAGGGTAAAATGGAATGATTGCCTAACCCCAATGTAGCCTAAAGGAAATAGAATCTGGTCTATTTTAGGTAGGGTGACCACATAAATTATCGTCCAAAATGATATACTTTTAAGAGCAAAAGAGGACACTATTAAATCATTATACTGAAATAATATGTATAAACTGGGACATATGGTCACCCTTTTCTTAAACCTTTCTACCATTTGAAAGGGCTGGGATGTTTGGTCTTCTGGAGTGTGTCATTTGGGCCTCAACAGGGTCCACTGAAGTTTGAGGATGTGGCTCTTTCTACGAATTGTCTATGTGCTAATAATAACTGAAGCCAGGTGTGGTGGTGCATGCTGGTAATCTCAACTACTTGGGATGTTGAGGCAGGAAGATTGCAAGTTCAAGGCCAACCTCAGCAACTTAGAGAGATCCTGTCTCAAAATAAAAAATAAAATGAGCTTGGATATAGTTCAATGGTAAAGCACCCCTAGGTTCTTAAAAAAGTACCCTAGGTACTTAAAAAAAAAAAAGCCAAGAGTTTCAGTTCAATATTATGGGTATTACTTTAAAAAAGCATTGACATAGAAAAAAATCAAATTTATAAAATATTTATTTGGTGTGGTTATTTAATTTTAAAAAAGAGTCACTACAAGCTTTGCTTAAGTAGTAAGATGTCTCTGATATACATATAGTATGATGTAATTTGCAAAGATTCCATTTATGCACAGGCATTCTCAGGAAAACACATATTACATAAGAAAAATTATACTTACATATTCAAAAGCCCAAACTGTGGGCTGAAAAAGCAAAAGGGCTTTAGAGAATGCTAATAGTGAAGGCTGTAGCCTCAGACAAAAATTCCTCACAGATGTATGTTGTAGAAAGGTCTTTTATTCTCCCTTGTTGTACCTGTATCATAATCACCATTCTTAGTGCCGTCAAGGAAAGTAATATATCATGCAGGGCTTATCAATTTTATCTTTTTCTTGAGTTGAAGTTAATATATTTCTTGCCAGCTTTTCATAAGAGGGTGTCTCTTGTAAGCATCTTTAATTTTGATCCCTCTCGGGTTTCAGGCTGCCAAAGGACCCAGTTTGTATATTTGTGTTGAATGCTTACTCATATACATAAGGCCTCAGGATTTCCCCTAATTTTTTTGATAAAAGGCTGACCTCCCCCCGCCAAAAAAAAAAAAAAACAAGTATTAGCTCCTCCATTATATATATTTTAAGCTCAATCTGTATGACTATTTATTTTAGCACATCACTCTATTTATCCAGTGAAATAAAGATTGTGCCAGGTAGGTAGATGGAAGATCCTAAGCAAGGCATCCTCAAAGGTGCAAAAGCTTCCTTTCTCAAATGTATAAATGCTTCTATTGATATTTATATTACTTATGGTTAAGTAATATAAATATCAGTACATGTGAAAGACAAGAATGCCTAAGAGATTCTGGATGTCTCAATTTTGCTTCATTATAACAAAATCTTGTTTTTTTTTCCAGTACTGGGGATTGAACTCAGGACTTCACACATGCTGGGCAAGCACTCTGCCACCGAGCCACATCCCCAATCCCCAAACTATATTTTTTTTGGGGGGGGAAAGAGTCATTCTTGAATACAGCTTAGATAATTAATACACATGTTTAATACTGATATATGAGTTAGAATTTCAGCAGTATGTTTCCAAAAGATGGATCAAAGTCAACACTATCTATAATAATGTGCATGTTTTCCTTCTTCTCCTTCTCCTTCTTTTGTTTGGTGTTTGTGGTACTGGGTGTGGATGGATCCAAGTCCTTGCACATGCTAGGCAAGTTCTCTACCATTAAGCTATACCCTCAGCTCCTGATGCAGGTTTAACCAAAGGACATTTACTTCAGGAATTAAAACAGACTCCATTGTGACAAGGAGTCAATGCACAGGTCAAGTGAGGAGGACTGTGTCAGAGTATTTCCTTATGCTGAACTGTGGAGGTGGCAGAGTTCATTGACTCTAGCTTTGGGGACATAGGCAGGTTGATATTATCCTGTTTAAGAAGGCCAAATTTTCTTTCTGTGCCAACAGACAAAATGTGGGGGAAGGCAACAGATTCTCATAGTGACCTTCCTTTGGACTCACCTCCTCCTAAAATGAGTGTTGCCAGTTGCCACTGAAGGATGTACTTGAGACACTTGCCAATTCCCACTGGAGTCATGTTAAAGGAGCACATGGGATCCCCGGCTATTGTATCAGCTCCCAGCTGTAAGACCACTGCTTTGGGATTAAAGGCTTGGTACACCTCCTTTAGTACACTGTAGAAAAAAGATATAAAATATCAGAAGACTATAGATGAGGCTAGTGGGGTGGTGGGACGAGTTGGACTCATAGTCTACTCAGCTAACAATTAAGGAAAAAGAAACATAACCTGTCAATTTCATTGAAATTTCTACCTAAACAGGGTGAATCAGAGTACATGTGAATCACTTTTTTCTTAAAACCTGACTTACAAAACAAACAAACAAAATAACCCTAGCTCCTATTTGTTCACCAAGGAACAAAGTTGCCCTTCTATTTTAGAACTAACTTTCTGGAAATATTCATATTAATCTCACTTCAACAGTCACAGCACACAGTATATACATTTATTTCATTTTAAAGTCTGGAGAAATAAAACATATACATTGAATAGTTTTTAAGGATTCTTTCTGGTAATTTAAGACAGCAATCCCACTTGGAGTTGATCACCTAATTCTTAATGGGAGCTGGGGGCGAGAAGTATAAGCTTTGAAAGCCTAGATGGTATCACTTACTTTTTATTATGCAAAAGGACTTGAGGGTAATGAAATGCAGTCCTCCCCAATGCATATGTAACCAGGGTATTATAAAGAAGGGAACTGCAACAACTGATCTAAAATTATAAATCTGAAAGCACCCTAAAAGAACAAGTTGCTGTGGGTAACACTAAGTATAATTTTGGGTAGAATTATTCAATGCTGTAGAATCAACCTAATTGCTTTTGTCAACAGTGAGAAGCCTTATAGATGAAAAGGAAGATGTCAATGTGACAGGTGACCTTAGTCAGGCTTCCAATATAATCATTAATTGAACACTGACAATGTCCAGAATGCATTCCTAGGAGTCATAAGGTCCTTGCTCTCAAGGGGCTTACAATCTACTTTCCAGACAAAACATATACCAGTCCTCAAGGGCCTGAGGAACTCTTACAGAGATGTATAAACAAGTGCAAATTAACATACTTCAGAGTTGAGAAAATACAGAGTCAAAAAGTGATCAAAAATGTTGAGGTCAATGACCCTCTCATAATCAACATGTCAAATCACACCAGCGCAGAAAACCCAGAAAAATCCCAGATCCTTCTGAAACAGCAAAAGGAATTCAGGGATATAAAATGCCGTCTTCCCCAATTCATATGTACCCAGGGCATTGAAACTATTGACTAGGGTTCAGCCACAGAGGCAGTTGTTGACTCAAAGCACTGTTTTGTTTTGATTTCTCATCCTCACAGACAAATATTGAGTGATGGTAGAGATTATAAGAATATTATAAAAATTATGACATATGATCCTTAATACAAGGATACTTGGGCTTATTCTCTCTTTCATGTGCTTATCTCCTGGGTGCAGAGGGAAGATAAGCTACCTGAATAGTTTAGACGACATTTATTGAACATCTACATGTACAGAGCACCCTATTAGCTGCTTCTGGGAGACACAGAGGAAGGCGTGATGTCTGTTCTAAAAAGGTTTTCAGCCAGGGAGGGAGAGGGGGAGGCAAGCAAGACTACGGTTCTTTTCATTCATTCTTTCCCTCACTTAATGAGGATCCACTATGTGCCCAGCATGTAACTGTACCAGATGCTGCAGGAATCAAGATGAATCTGGCACAGGTTCTACCTTTGTGTAGCCCAGGATAGAGGGGAAAACACAGACTGTGGCAATAAAAAATTAAAACACAAGGATAAATGAAGCATCAGAGGTGGCACAGAGGAGAGAGTACTCAACTTTTCCAGAGAAAGCTAGAAAAGGCTCTGCAGAGGTAACTCTTGACTTAGGTCCACAAAGATGAGAAGTACTACAATGAGCCAACTCTTGAGATGGCTAGAATGAAACAGAGCGATAACAACAATTCCTGGTGGGGATGTGGAGAAAGTAGATCACACTGTCTTGCTGGTGGGAATGTAAAATGGTATAGCCACTCTGGAAAATAGTTTAGCAGTTCCTGTCAAAACTAAAAATAGACTTGCCATATGAGCCGGCAATTGCACTCTTGGGCAATTTATTCCAGAGAAGTTAAGGTTTATTTTCATGTAGGAACTCGTACACAAATGTGCATAGCATCTTTACTTGTAATAGCCCCCAATTGGAAAGACTCAGATGTACTTCAATAGATGAATGGTTAAACAAACTGGTTCATCCATACCAGAGGAATATTGCTTATCAATCAGAAGAAACAAACTATCGATACACAAACAAATAAAATGGATGAATTTAAAGGTAATTATGCCGGGTGAATAAGGTCAATCTCAAAAGAATATACACTGCAAAATTCCACTTACATAATATTGTAAAATAGTAACTTATAGAGATGGGGATCAGATTAGTGGATAGCAGGGGTTATGGATGAGATGCAGCATGAGAGCCTTGTGGTGATGGTACAGTTTTTTATCTTGATTGTAGTAGAGGTTATGTCAGGCTACATATGTGAAAATATCACATAGAAACACACACACACACACACACACACATACGTCAACTAGTGAAATCTGAATACAATCTATGGGTTGACCAAGATCAACTTCTTGATTTTGATGCTATTCTATAATTTTGCAAGATGTCAACATTTGAGGAAGCTGGAGGAAGAGTACATGGGACTTCCTTGTACATTTCTTTGCAACCTCGTGAATTTGTGATTATTTTCATATATATACATATGAAATATATAAAAATTATGTATATAATTTAAAATATATGTATTTTAAGTTAGGTACTGGGCATTCAACCCAGGGGTGCTTAACCACTGAGCTACATTCCCAGACCTTTTAATTTTTATTTTGAGCAGGGTCTCACTAAGTTTTTGAGACTAGCCTTGAACTTGCAATTCTCTTGTCTCAAACTCTCAATTTCCTGGGACTAAGGTCTATGCCAATTTGCCTGACTTCTCTAGTGAATTTTTTTTTTTAAGCAAAGGAGGGGTGGGGTTGTGGCTCAGTGGTAGAGCACTTGCCTAGCACATGTGAGGCACTGGGTTTGATCCTCAGCACCACATAAAATAAATAAATAAAATAAAAGTATTGTGTCCATCTATAACAAAAAAATTTTTTTTAAACAAAGAAGAGCTGGGGGTGGGGGTTGTGCAGATCAGTGGTAGAGTGTTTGCCTAGCATTTACAAGGCCCTCAGTTCCATCCCCAGAAACTGTCTGAAAAGAAAGAAAGAAGAAAAGAAAAAAAAACTGGAGAAGTTTGTAGGCACTACTTTGGGTGAACTTAGTGGAGTAGGAGATAGGGATGGTTGTGGGAGTTAATGGCAGGGGATGAGGTTCAGAGAAGTGTATGTGCAGAAACATGCAGGCAGGGAGGGAACAGGGAGTGAAGGATGAAGCTAATAGTAAATGTGAGCAGGTAGGTATTATAAGTTTGGGTTTTTATCTAAAGGGTATGAAATGTCTCAAATATTGTGTGTGTGTGTGTGTGTGTGTAGACATAGGTGCATGCATGCATGTGCACCCCTTTGCGTTGGGGCATGATCAGATTTCCATTTTAAAGATACTTGAGCTCTAGGGTAGGGTATACTGAAGATTGGTCAGGGTTTTTGCAAACATCCAGGTGGATGGATAGACAGGAAGAGATGGATTGGGGAGATAAACTTCCATGATAAAATTAATAGAGTCATACAGAGTGACACATGAGAAAAGAATATACCTATGATGTTTATGACTGTTTGGTAATTAGGAGAGAGGAAAGGATAAAGGAAGGGAGGTGTTTCAGGAAAGTCATTTTAATTATAGCTAGGAAAGGAAAATGAGTCCTCAAGGAGTTCTGATGAAGCAGGCTCTAGATGGGTAGAGAAAAGGGTAATTAGAAGCTTAGGAAAAGCTAGGGCACTTTGTATATAATAGAAAATTCAAAGCAACTGGTAGTGAGGACAGCTTACAGAGGGCTGGGTGGTGGACAATCATAAATTCAAGACGGCTGTTTTCATTTGATTTGACAATCAAATGGAAACCCCTGGAGAAGTATAAGTACTGATGTTGCTAAAAAATTATAATTAGGAACTCTGACTTTTTGCTATTGCATGTAAGGCCAGAGAGAAAATTTGGAAGCAGAGGAATTGGCAAAAAGACTACTGAAGCATTCTAGTCATGAGAACAACAGAAAGCAAGGCAAAGTAAATATAGAAAAAATTGAGAAGGCTAGGTGACAAGGGAAGGGAGGAGAGTCAAAGGAGAAAACACACCGTGCCCCTTTTCTTCAGAAGTGCCAGGAGAGGAAGAGAGAAATTGCCACTTACAAATCCAGTATTCCTCTCGCTCATCAATCATTCCTCTTTTGAAGTCAATGTCATTTGCTTATACTATTCAAATACTATCAGAGTTCTTATCTATAGACCCACAATGTATTCTTCCGGCTCCCTTGAGGATTTCAGCACCTGGTTCATAATTTTTTTTTCTCTCTCTCTCTCCTTGTCATGGTTCTCTGCAATTCAGTATTCATTTACTCACTAAAACTTTGATTCCAGCACCTGCAGTTCTCTATGCTGTGGACTAGAGATACAGAAATAAGCCAGATCCAAGGAGCTTATGGTCCAGTAGGGGAAGAAAACAGGAAAATCATCAATTATGATAAGTGCTATAATATTCATTCACTCATTCATTGATCCATTCACCCAAAAAATGTTAGTTGATTGGCTACTATATACCAAGCACTAGGTTGAAAAATGGGTTTACTCTATTGAATGAAAGTGACCTTTTCTTTCTCCAGGGACTATCCTAATTCTCTGACATCACAGTTTCTTCATCTTTCCAACAATAGTGATGTCCAACTGCACTCGACTTTAGTTATTCCTAAGCATGGCCACACTTCAGGGCCCAATAAGGAAACATTTGGAATTGCTTTACTTCTAAGGCCCTGGACTCTGAAATACTTTCTCTGCTTACAGTTTTTATCTTTTCATGTCTCCTATTGCACTTGCTCTTTATTCTCATAATAACTCCCATTCCCTAGTCTTTCCCTGTTTTTCAAGTTCATTAGCCTATTTTAATTTTTTGGTAGTACTGGGGATTGAACCTAGGGC